TGGGGTATTATTAATAATATAAAAAGTCACAAGGTCTGGAAGTTCTACCAAAGATCTGCACCATCCTCCTTTGTGTGCCCAACAGACATAAACACCAAAAGACAAAGTGTATTAAACAAAACAACAAGAAGCGCCCACCCCCCAGCCATACAGGGACCTGTAGTCACTTCTGGAGTGTCCACTCCTCTCAGTTAATACATGTACAAACTTCAAAAAATCAGCTACATGATATATTAGGATGTTAACCAAAAACATCCAAATTCTGTTGCTTAGTAACTGCTGTCAAAAGATCCAATTTCCAGCCCTGCTCTTTGTATGGACTAAACCATGAAAAGAGGAGGATTAGGCACCATCATTCTGTTCTGCGCTGACTACAATTTGCAGTGGGATTTACAGGAGGATATTCAAAGAAGATTATTTCTTTCTTACAAAGCTAGTGGAAAGGAAATTTTTTTTCCATTAATTTTCAGTCCTTTAAGAACAAGCCTATATTATGTTATTAATGGGCATAGTTTTATAAATCACTGATATTTTTACTTAATTTTGTTCAAACAATTTAGTCACATCAGATTGTTCTATTTCATCTCTCTACTGATTGTGTACTCGGAAAGCATCAAGATTAGGTAATTATGTAAGTTAAAGTCAAATTCTGCTGCTTTGTTCTTTTGCTCATTTAATACCACTAATAGAACTAGTGAAATAGGCTTTTTTTTTTTTTAAAGTATAGATGCAAAAATGGATACAGAAATTAAGAGTTTAAAATAGAATGAAGTTGTGGAAACAAACATAAATGAGGGAGAAGAGGAAGATCTGTGAATACTTCAAATATCCTAATGGAACACATGGTATCCCCCCAGAATGTAATGATAATACCTCATACAGACTTTGGCAGTGTTGGGGAGTTTATCTATGGAGAAAGGATTTACTAAGCAAATTAAGAGAAGTACAAGGTGAATTTTAAATTAATTGAGAATAAACTACTTTCATATATTTTAGCACCATCCGTATGTGAACAAGAAGCAATAGCTTAATTACAATTAAATCTTAGATACTCATTAAAGCAAAACGGCCCTCTCTACTGACAAAAACTTACCTCCTGGTTTAAGTAATAAAGTGGTATATAAAGATATTCTATAAATTAACTATTCATATCACCTCTCTTTAACAAAAATTAATGGGTTATAATATCTCTGAGTTTCACAAACTATTGCCATTGCAAAACATTTTGAAAAATCTTTTAAATTAAGAATGTAGTCATTAAAATGTAGCTGAAGAAATAATTAAATGCCAATCTTTTACCTATCAAACTAGCAAAAAATATTTTAATAACATCAAGTGTGGGTGAGAGTCCACGGAAACTGACGCTCTCATATGATGGGGCTGCAAGTGTAAACTGGTGCAACTTTCCAAAGACGTGGGCTTTAGGAATCATTAGTATTTTACATAAGAGTTTTGATAGCAATATTTATCAAAAATCTCTAAAATACTAATATTTTTACCTTAGCAATCCCAATTCTGAGAATTTATCCTAAGGAAATAACCAGAAATGTATGTACAATAATAATGATAAGTAAAAATAACCACTACACTTTATTGAGCACATATTATATCCCAAGGCACTGTGTGATACTTTACATAAATTAACATCTCATTTAATTCTCATAATAACCCTATAAGCCTGCTATTAATATTATCTTCATTTTATGATGAGAAAACAGAGGCCTATAGGTTAAGTGACTATAAGAGCTGATAGTGTGGTGGAGTTGGGATTCAAATTCAGATCTATTTGAAACCTAAGCCTAAGTTCTCAGCCAGTAAAATATGATGCTACTCTAAGAAAAATCTAATATGAGAATGAGGGCAGTGATTTCCCTAGTTTGGTAGTTCTACAGAATATTATTTATAATTGTGAAAAAACCTGGAAACAATCTAAATGTTCAATAAAAAGGAAATGTTTAGGGCCGGCCCCGTGGCTTAGCAGTTAAGTGCCCACACTCCGCTACTGGCGGCCCGGGTTCGGATCCCAGGCGCTCACCGATGCACCGCTTCTCCAGCCATGTTGAGGCCACATCCCACACCCAGCAACTAGAAGGATGTGCAACTATGATATACAACTATCTACTGGGGCTTTGGAGAAAAAAAAGGAGGAGGACTGGCAATAGATGTTAGCTCAGAGCCAGTCTTCCTCAGTAAAAAGAGGAGGATTAGCATGGATGTTAGCTCAGGGCTGATCTTCCTCACAAAAAAAAAAAAAAAAAGGAAATGTTTAAATGGATATTATATAGCTATTAATTTAACATAATATTGAGATAAATTTTAATGACACTGAAAAACGTTCATAATATAATTAGTGAAAAAAGCAGGTTTAAAATAGTATGTCAAATGTGATCCCCAATGCATAATGTGTTTACGTGTGTCTGAGTAGAGAAGAAAACTGAAGGACAAACATGGACTCTCTTTTTAATTTTCTTCTATTTTTTTTCTGTATTTTCTAAATTATTTTTATAATTAGGAAAAGCCACATTTTAGGGTGGAGGGTGGGGGAGAAGCATTCAAAAGGAAAAAAATGTCCTCTCCAGAATGATAAAAAATTATAAATTATTTGTGTTCTGGTAAAAAAAAATGAAAACGTCTTCTTCCCATCCTCACAGTAAAAATGAAGGGCAGAGAACAGTGGTGGGAGGTAGACGAGAACTACTAAAGAATGGCATTTATATTCCATTTTCAAAAGCAACCTGGAAGACTTAACACCTTTAGACTGGTTTGAGCCCTCAGGCTTTTCTCAACCTATCATTAGGCAACAATGTGAAAACTATTTGCAAGGAAAGATTTTGCAATATTTCTAATATATTTCTAAGACAACTATGCTTCATTCTTTTCTCTGTTCTGTACTTTAGTTACAGGGAATAATATTTTTTCCCCAAGGAAAACCAAAAAGTCTAATATGAATTTATTACACTGCTGAAGCAGAAATAATTTTTGTAAACTTAAAGGTGCATGGATGATCCAGACAGTGAATCATGAATCGAAACCATTTTGAATAAGCTTGTATAGACATTTATTTTTATATTCCTTAGTCTTCTACTCATCTAAAACTCTACCTTGAAAGGCCGCAACTATTTAAAGATTAAATCATAAGTTATTAAGCCATTAATTTAACCATTTAAGCCTCTAAAATCAGCACATATTACCTTCCCCCCTCAAGTCAATTTGCAAGAGATTAAAGTAATAAAAATGATAATATCTCACACTTACAAAGCAACTTTGATCTGCAGGAGACTCAAGTACTTTTTAAAAACTTTATAGAAAAACTAGGACCATCCACCCACATCTCCAAGTACATCTGAGGTAGAAGCTGGCAGCTGGCAAAAAGCAAAGGAGTAATTTACCATCTGCACAGTAGACTACTACTTTTGAACAAGTATAAGGAATAGATGGAGTCAGAGAAATGCAAATAGAACTGGTTGTTCAATTAAATGTAAGTTCAATGGCCACAGATTCCAAAGGCTATTATTTAAATTTTCACCAGAGGAAGTGGCTTAAGGATTCCCTGTAGAGGGAAGAAACCAAAAACCAAAGAATAGCAACCCCTACCTACTTTAGAGAAATCACTGGTCCTAGTTATTCTGTCCAGATTTTCCTGGGAAGGACAGACACTACTGGTTTCACCTCAGACACAGAATGCACTGACTATGATATTTAAGTTCTTTTTGTGTCTCCCTCTCCTTCACACTCAACTTCAAAGATCCTTACATAGAATATTTACCTTGATATCTCAGTGTGCAAGGCTGGAATCCTGTTCCACACTCTGCCTCCTCCATCCATTTCAAGCACCCTACACAATTTTCTGCCACCTGCGCAAGCAAGAGACTAACTTCTCAAACTTATATTTTTTTGGGGTCTGCTTCTTTTTAAATGTATTTTTCCTGTTCATTCTCTTCCCTAAAGAAAACCTGAAGTAATTCTATCCTACCTCTTTAAAAAGTGAGGGCCTAGGAGGAAGGCAAAAGAGCACTTGAGCTGCCTTTACTAGGGAGCACTGTAATTCTCAGGATTTTTTTCCCTGATTCTGCTTTTCCCACATCTCTTTAACTAACAGTCACTTCCTATCTATAAAAGATAAGCATGAAAAAAAGCATTTAAATAAAAGAAATTCTTCAACTAGATGTGAAAAATAATTTCTTCACTGTCTGGGAGTATACAAAATTAGAATATCAATGGAAATACTGCCTACCAAGTGAGCTGAAATAGACATTAGGAGTCTTCAGCATTGATTTTGTTGTTGTTTTTTAAAAAGCAGCCACCTACTATTCTAGATGCCTTACATGGCACTTGCTTGAATGTAAGAGAGATGGACCAGATGATCTTAGAGTCTTTTCAGCTCTAGGAATCTATTCTATGTTGTTCTAACTTTCACTGATGGTTCAAAGCAGCCAGTATAAGGTGACAAATGGCACTTGGAGAAAGGAAGTAGGATGAAGACTGCATTAAGTTGCCAAGCAGACTCTCATTATTATCTAACATACCACATTCCTTTTGTAGGGGTTTTGAGGATAGCTTTCCAATGATATACCCCTCTTCTTTCCCAAACTATACAGTTAACTTAATGGACCCTAAAGAGTTTGACTCTGTACATTGATGAAAGAACTTAAAAAAAAAAAAATCCTAAATGAACTTGCTCCACTCTACTCAACACTCTTAACTAAGATCTTTCTTTCAATAAAGTTGATACAAACTTAAGAAATAAAAATTAATTATAATATGTACTAAACAAAGCATTATTTGGAAGATAAAGGTAATAAAAATGTATTACTAAGTTAAATATATCTAAAACAGTCGCTGTTTCCCCCTACATTCTGCTAATAATTTAGTTCCACTTGAGAAGAACATAGCTGCTACAGCTTTTATATATACACATGTACAAAGATAGATATAAATGTAGATGTGTACACACACATCTAAGAGATAGGAAATTAAAACGAAAGTAAAAATCTTGATACCTTCTTTATGGCCTGACACTTGGCTGTCTCAGAAAAGCCAATCATCTTATCAGGAGAACAGATCTTGATGAAGGGGAAGTTGGATTCCTCTGCAATCTTTGCAGCTAAAGCAGTCTTCCCACTATGAGGAGGGCCTGCATAAAGATATGAGCAAGTCAGGGGAAAAAAGCCAACCTAAGCAAAGAGGAATAAAACAAGTTTCAACTTTTATCCACAATATACTGAGGTTTCAACTAGTTGCTCATTAACATTTCCTGTCACAATTTCATGGCAGACATGTTTTCTCTTATTTATTAGCAACTAAACTTAATGAACTGATTAGCATTTCTCAAAAGTATGATGAAATACATTCCTTCTTTCTTTCTAACAAAGCCTTAATCTTTCAAACTTCTGGCTAAATATATAAAATGCAAGGGTTTTGCTTCTTTAAAAAAAAGAGAATGCATTCAAATGTGTATCAGTACCTATGTTGTTAGTTCTATCAAATCATTTGTCTAACAAAAAAATACAATCTTCTTAGATGATACTGGGGGCAGAGAAAAACTGCCTTATAGAAGCAAATGTGGCTTGAAAACCTAGAATTCTAAAGACTCAAGCCTTCTCATAAAGGCAACCAAATCTACAAACTTATCTGTATTTAAACATCTCCTCTGTTTTCCCTTCTGTGTAATGGAAGATGTGTCCCTCTCTTCCATCCATAAACCGACCAATTCTTCCTTTCCATCTTCTGGGGAACCTGATATTATTATTATTTTTTTTTTTTTATAATTTTATTTACTTTTCCCCCCAAAGCCCCAGTAGATAGTTGTATGTCATAGCTGCACATCCTTCTAGTTGCTGTATGTGGGACACAGCCTCAGCATGGCCGGAGAAGTGGGGCGTCGGTGCGCGCCCGGGATCCGCACCCGGGCCTCCAGCAGCGGAGCGCGCGTACTTAACCGCTAAGCCACGGGGCCGGCCCCGGGAACCTGATATTATTAATTGCACTCCTCCCCTATATGTTCCACCTCTTCCTCTTTCCTGAAGCCTTTCTTACAGCATTTAAACATGCTCTAGTCTATCTGACAGTTTAATAAACAAAACAACAAAACTCCTTTTGGACTTCACACCTCTCAACACTACTCTTTCTTCTCCCTTCAAAATGGAACTTCTCTAAATAATTACACTGGCTGCCTTCCCTCTTCACCTTCATCCATCCTCAAAAAAGCCCCATGGCTTCCATTCCCATCTGATGGAACAGGCTCCGCGCTAGGGTCACCAATGACCTCCATGTCACCAAATTCAACAGACATTTTATCTGTTGGCCTCTTAGGAATATTTGATACAATCAGTAGCTCTCCTCTTCCTTTAAAAACTTTTCTTTTCTTGGCTTCTGTGATAGCACATTATCTTTTCCCCCTCTTACCTATCTGGTTACTCTTGCTGTCTCCTTTGTCAACTCTTCCTGCTCTACTTAGTCCTTAAATGTTGACACTCCTCAGAGATCAGCTCTAGGCCTCCCTTTTCTTCTCAGCCTACACCCTCTCTGTAAGTGACATCATCCACTCCCATGAATTCAACAACAGTCCATATACTGACAATTCATGAGTGTATATTGTCAGCCAGATCTCTCTTCTGAGCAACAGACCCACATATCCAATGGGCTACTCAACTTTTCCCATCCAATTATCCTGTAGGAATCTTGAACTCAACATGTCCAAAATGGATCTCATGATCTTTCTTCCCAAAATCTGCGTATCCACTAGTGTTCCCAATCTTAGTAAACAGCACCATTTACAAGGCCGTGTATACTAGAAACCTGGGGATCATGTTTGATACCTCTCCCCATATTCAATCTAATTACTTAATATTTCTAAACTTCAGCTTCCCCATCTACAAAACGGGGATAACAATAGCATGTACCCTCAATGGACTGAAGTGGGTTTTAAATGAGATAATATGTGTAAAGTGCTAGTAGAGTGACTGGCAAAAGTAAGAGTTCAAAAAATGTTAGCTTAATTATGATTAATAATTAACCAACAATAATTTTAAGTCTCTTTTAGTCTACCTCCTAAATATTTCTCAAAATGGTCTACTTACCTCCATCTCCACTACTACTGTTACTTCAAACCAAAATCAGCTCTCATTAAGACTAATGCAACTGCTTCTAACCATTGGTCTCTCCCATATCTTTTTTGCCCCTCCAATCCAATCTCTATCACAAAGCAGTCATGATGTTTTGAAAATACAAATCTGATCATGTCACTTCACTGCTTAAAATCCTACAAATGGCTTCCCACTGCCCCTCAGATAGAGTCTAAATACTTAACATGGTCTACAAGGCTTTGCATGAACTGGCTCCTGTCTACTTCTTCAGTCTCAGGTCTAGCCAATCTCCTTTTCTGTTTCAATATCCTTCCTGCCCAGAGCTTTTTCACATGCTGGTCCCTCTACCTAAAACATCTTCCCCAATTACTTTGCCCGGCCAGCTTCTCCTTCATCCTTCAGATCTTGGCTTAGTGTGTTTCTCTTGGGGAGCCCTCACCCCCAGACCTTTGGAAGGGGTTAGATTCCCTTGTCATGTGGACTCACTGAACTCTTCTGTTGTTGTACTAATCATAAGTGTAAATAAATAATTGATGAATAGAAAGATCTTCCCTTTTTGTCTACATAGTAAAATCCTAACTGATCCTTCAAAGTCTAAATTAAACACCTCCTCTAGCTTTCCTTGACTACCCCCAGGCAAAATGACTTGCATTCACACACACCTTTACACATATACACTGTAGTTAGGAATTTGTTTACATATCTTTTTTCATGACCAGATTGAACTCTGTGAATGTCTTTGTATCCTCAGCAACTAATTCAATGCCTAAAACATAGTAAGTACTCAGTGAATATTTATATAATTGAATTGCGTACTATCTGGTATCATACAGTCTATTAAGTGACACAGAAGTTTAGATAACAATACTATAAGAAAACTAGTTGCTATCATTCATCAGTAACATTCTACCCCAGGAAAATTTTAATTTGTGCACAATATTGGTACATAAATTGGATTACTATTTTCAGATCATGAACAGGTTTAGAACTGAAAATATTTCATTTTTTTTGGAATGTGCTAAATGGCTTTGTCAAAGTGCTGCTTTTTTTTTTACTTTTAATGCCATCTCATCATTCTTTCTCACCTTCCAAAAGGACGCTAACCAATGGTGTGCGGTCACTGTTTTTAGTCTGCTGAACCAGCAGTTCCCCATCTTCTAGAACTCGAGTAACTGGATCACCCCATTTGATGATACCATTCATAATATAACTTGCATAATCCTCTTGGTTTGTGCCAAATGCCTATGGAGGAAAAGGACAGTTTAAAGCATTTTGAGCATTAGTATTAAAAACTAAAATATTTAAAGGTATAAAAGATGAGTAATAATTCCTACACGCTAAAAGTGTAATATCCCATATTAATGTAAAAAGCCTGAAAAGCCAAAAAAAACCAAAAAGCTGTTTTATAATTTTTCATTTAACTTTTTACCCAGTGGGGGTGGGGGCTGCTTTGGGTGACTTAATGGAATAAAACAATAGATTCTAGGCTCAGATTCTACCAGAGCCCAAAAGGCCTTGTAATCCTGGAGAAAGGGTATGTTCCAACGTGCTTGTTTCTGTAAAGAGGACGCAGGTTGTGACTCTTTGTTAAGAATAAAGAGAAAAATAGATTACAGACTCAGAAATTAGAAACACTTGGCTCAGCAGACAAAGATACTATCCTAACACTGACTGTACGTGATTAAAATGGGAACATGAAATGGTAGTGAGGAGATCTTGGTATAGTATCTTGAAATGGTAATGAGGAGGTCTACATCAGCTTGGTGGTAGGGAATATAAGTTAAATGGCACCAAAAAAATAAAATAAATAAATGGCACTAAGGTAAGTATACATGTGTAAATATAAGATTTAGAACGAGGTAGAAATGAGCAGCTGTAATAAAAGACTTAAGGGTTAGGAAAAGGAAATAAAAGCAATTACTATATATAATAATTTTATTTGTGCTCACTGTATAATGGAGCTTAAATTGGAGCTTAAATCACCTCCCTCTTCATTTTCCTCAAATTGTAACTCCCATCAAACCAGCTGCTAAAAGTATTCAGTAACTTTAGTACTCAGCTACTTAATTGAATCGCATTTTCATAAGGTTAACAGGAGAAGAAATGAGTAGGAAAACATAACCCAATGTAACATAAAGGCCATATATCTTGAGAATTTCAAATTTTTAAAAATTATCATATCCCTCAAAAAGTCAATTTTTCATTACTTGATGTATGGAAAATTTTAACAGTTCTTTAGAAGTTGCACCTCACAGAAAGTCATTCTTTGTAATACTGTGGTCTCATTACTCTATTACTTTGCCACTAAATCATTTTTCAGACCACTCTTTGGTCCTTCCATACACTAGTCCTTCGATTCTTGAGTACAGAGGAAAGTCCTCATTCCCGGTCTGGATATGGTAAATTCAGTGGTCCTGTAAAAGGTTATAAAGGAGGAGCCTAATAAATACTGGTTGAATGGCTGTTGTAGGAAATATGTAGATTGGCTGGCTTTTGTCTTTAATTATTTCAGATATATACCTCAGCCTCACAGCAGCAGCTTTATGATGCCTGAACCAGGAAACAGTGACCCTCTCAGGCTACACAATGTGTATGACTCTTCCCTATTGATCCTGTCATTTCATTTTTTGTTTTATCCTCCAGACTCTTAGAATAAATGAAAGTAAGTTATTACTTACTTAACTAAGTTATCTTAATTTCCCCTTCCTGGAAGCCAAATTATTATTTATTTATTTAATTTAATGTTTTGTATTGAGGTCACATTGGTTTATAACATTATATAAATTTCAGGTGTACACCATTGTATTTCAACTTCTGTATAGACTACATTGTGTTCACCACCAAAAGTCTGGTTTCCATCCGTCACCATACACGTGTAGCCCTTTACCCCTTTCACCCTCTCTCCACTCCTTTCTCCTCTACAGATACAGAGAACACCAATCTGTTCTCTATAACTATGTGTTTGTTTGTTGTTGTTGTTGTTTATCTTCCACATATGAGTGAAATTATATGGTATTTATATGGTATTTATCTGACTTATTTCACTTAGCATAATACCCTCAAGGTCTATCCATGTTGGCCCAAATTACTTGTCATTAAAAAATATTGGAATAGATCAGTTAGACTGGGCTCTAATATTTTGGTAACTCTTACAAATGAAAACGACAAAAGATTAAACCATTTCCATTGCTCAGTAACTTTTGAAAGTAATTATTTTATATTTACAACTCAGAATAGTCATAAAGCAGACAGGGCTAAAACAAATTGATTTTTGTCTTTAAAGGAGATACTTGCAACAAATAATTACTGTCAAGAATATATAAAGAACTTATACAGATCAAATAAAAATAAAGGATAAACAATACAACAGAAAAATAGGCAAAAGACATGAACAGCATTTCATAGAGGACACTCATATGGCCAATAAACATATGGAGAAAAGTTTAACTTCATAAGTAATCAGTGAAATGCAAATCAAGACCAAAATCAGATCCCATTTTACATCCAACTGAATGGCAAAAATTAAGTCTGACAATAACAAGTGTTCTAGAGGATACAGAGTAACAGGATCTCTTTTACATTACTGGGGACAGTGTTTATTGGCTCAACCACTGGGAAAACAGTTTGAAATTCTTCACTTTGAAGCTGGACATTCATATACCCAACAACTCAGCAATTTTATTCCTAAATATATATCTAAGAGAAACTCATTCAAGAATGTTTATAGCAGCACTTGTTTGTAATAACAAAAAACTGATAACATTCCAAATGCCCACTGACAGGAAAATAGATAAATTCAGGTAGTCACACAATGGAATGCTATTTAGCGATGAAAATGAATGATGTATAGCTATAGAAAATCACTTGGATGACTCTTGGTAATAAAATATAATAAAACAGCAAGTCCCAGACAATTATATACACCATATTTTATTTTATACACCATGTAGACTAATGACAACAGTCAAGAATTAAAGATTAAGATTAATCCAATTCTGTGCACCTGAGGCCCATTTAAGAAAGAAAAACAAACATACACACCTCTTTAAGAGGCCTTTTTACAGTTTGTTTCCGTACTAATATAGGACTCCAAACAATGGTTACTCAAACATTAGCGGTTGTTTTATAGGAAGATGGGTTAGTGAGCTTATACTATATTCTAAAGCTCCAACTATGACTGTTGAGTTTTGAGTACATTTTAAGAAAACTGACACCTTTTTTTTAAAGGCCACCTAGGATGGTTAAGAGTCTTAGAAACTATAGCAGTTAGAGGAACTAGAGGTATTGAGAAAGAAAAGGGAGCTTGGAAGAGGTTGGGGAAAGAAAGAGAGAAAAAGGAGGATATGAGAGTTAATTTTAAATATAATAACTAACATATAGAAGATGGATGAATTAGGATGAATTTAGGTTTCCGTAGCTTTAGATTACATAAGAACCAATGAGAAAACTAAATCTAGTTCAATATAAAGTAAGAACTAATAATTAGAGAGTCTCAAAATTGAATGGTCTGCCTTGTAAGATGGTGAGTTTCCTATCATGAGAAATAGTTCAGTAAGTACTGATTAATTACCGAGCCATGAGAGTGACTGTACAGATGTTCCTTATATTGTACGCTTCCAATGCTGAGATTTTCTGAGTTTTTAAAACTACTTATGATATAACCTTGCATAATACTAGGCAAAATGGCACTTACTTCTCTCCCGAATTATTATTTTGGCTTATACATCACTCAATATTCATACTTACTGGTTTGATATCATTCTCCAAAGAAGCAAAGAAGTCTCCTCTTGTCACCTGCAGGCTCTCTGCTTTCTCCATGTCCACTTCCACTTTAGTACTGGCCTAATTAGAAATGAAAACAAGATGTAAGGACAACCAAGATGTAAGCATATGTTCAGCCTAAGAATGTAATATCTGAGAACTTAAAAAGCATAACTTCACAGACAAAAAACATCTCTCCCAAATTCACAAACATATATACTCTTTGCCTAAACAATTCCACTTCTAGGAATTTTTCCCATAAGTATATTCAGAAATGTGTGCAGAGTTATATGTACCAGGATATCTACTACAGTAATTTGTAATAGCAGAAGACTGCAAGCAAATTAAATGTCCACCAAGAGGGTACCAGTTAAGTAAATTATGACACATCTGTACCAAAGAACACTGGATAGCCATTTTTTTCAAGATGAGTCATGAGGAGGAGAAAATACATACAGAGGGTCGCTAACAACAGTGGTTCTCACCCTTGGCTGTATATCAGAACAACCTCTAGAACCTTTGAAGCTGTATAGGTGCCCAGCCCCACTCCTTTCAGGCTTTTGATTTAACAAGTCCAGCAGAGGGTCCAGGCATTTATATTTTTATGTGCAGCCACTCCTTTCAGGCTTTTGATTTAACAGGTCCAGCAGAGGGTCCAGGCATTTATATTTTTATAAAATGCTGCAGGTGATTCTGATGCTCAATCAGGTTTACGAACCATTACTCTAGGAGACCAAGGACCTAAACTTTGACTTGTACTCATACTTTGTGCTTGAGAATCTATGTGCCAGCTCCAAATATTCTGCTTACTGCACCTGGAGCTAACACTGAGAATAGACATCTGGAGAAGCACCAAGGCCTTTATCAGCACTTGGAGCTGCCTAGACCTGATGAGTGATTAAGATACCAACACATTTTTTAATGCGACTGGGCTCACTCCCAATAGCACAAGGCAAGTGAGTCTAATTTTTAAAATGGTACTTCAGTTTTTTAAAAAGATATCTTAAAAAAATCTGACTATAAAACAAAAGTATGTTAAGCAATATCAACCTTCCATCGATTATTATAAAACATGAGTCATGTTCCCGTAGGAACAGACTGCTGAGACAAATAAAATGACATACATTTTTTAAAAAGTCAGCCTTATGAGATAAAAAGAACTATGTCAGGAAACTGGATCAAGATGGCAAACAGAACACATTTATTCATCTTCTTTCCTGCCTCTAATTCCATGAAATGACAGAAAGTAAGAAAGAAAGGTTAAAAAGCATGGAAGATATATCCAGAAGCTTTAACACGGATCTCAGAGGAGTCTCAAAAGGAGAGAAGAGAAAGAATGATAGAGAAAAAACAATAAAAGACAGAAGAAAAAAATTTCCCACAGCTGAAGAAAGGTGTGTCTTGGCAGTTTAAAGGGTTCAATGAGTGCTGATGAGGATAAATGAAAAGAAATTCACGTCTGTCTAGATACACTGTGGTAAACTTTCTGAGCACCAAAAATGAAGAGAAAGTCCTAGAACATTTTTGAGAGACAAAAACAGATTACCTGCAAAGGAGCCAGAATAAAACTGGCATGGTACCTCTCACTGGCAACACTACAAACTAGAAGACACTGTAACCATGTCTTCAGAAATACATCTGGCTATCTCTACCCTAGGAAATGATTCTCATATGTACAAAGGGAACATAGGCAGGCATTTTCATAACAGTATTATGCACTGTTCTAGGCACTAGAGACATAGCGGTAAATAAAACAGATAAGGTTTCTGCCCTCATGGATCTCACATTTTAAATTATGTTGTAACATTCTAGGATACTGTGCATTTGTTCAAAATAATGAAGACTTAAATATACTGACATCGAAAGCTATCCGAGACATATTGCCAAGTGAAAAACATAAACTACAGTACAATTCCATTAATTTTTGGGGGGGCGGGGGAAGATTAGCCTTGAGCTAACATCTGTTGCCAATCCTCCTCTCTTTTCCTGAGAAGATTGGCCCTGGGCTAACATCCGTGCTCATCTTCCTCTATTTTATATGAGACCCCGCCACAGCATGGCTTGACAAACAGTGCATCAGTCCATGCCCGGGATCTGAACCTGCGAACCTCGGGCCGCCAAAGCAGAGCGCGTGAACTTAATTGCTACACCATGGGGCTGGCCTAACTTTTCTTTTTTTTTTTTTTCAGCACATATGTTTATGAATGAAAATGTAAAGGAAACAGACTATAAAGGTATATCCCAAATGTTGGTGACCTCTGGAGAGGGAAAGGGATGGGGTGTTAGTGATGGTCTTTCTCACTTTTCCCTACATACTTGGGCATCCTTGAGTCTTCTACAAAGAGAATGTATTTGTGTATGACTTCATAGAAGAGAGAAAATTAACAAGTAACATTTAAATAGACAGACGGATATTCTACTTAAAGAGACAATTAGCATTTAAATTATTAATAGGGTTTTCACTGGCACATATTAGGCGTTCAATAAATATTAATCACATTTATTTGACATTTCTAAGCTAAAAAAAAAGGAAATGGTGTTATAGGAAACAAGCATGCTATGAAAGAATTATGATGCTCCATTCTTAATATATAAATCTCTACAGTGCTTTACAGTTTATAAAGTATGTTCATATACATTAGTTCATTTCATCATACCCATTATCTCATTGTATCTGTATACAAGCCTGGAAGTTTTCTTAAATTAAGAATAAGGGTAATTTAATTAAGGGTAGATAGAAGATTTAGTTTTCTAGGTAATCTTATACAAAGATTTTAAACTCTGATTAAAATTCTTGGCCACATCTAAAGGGTTCTACAAGGTGTAAACTCTCAGGTGAAAGTGAAGAAGTGAGCTCTGACAGAATCATATTAAAACCCCAGTGAAGCTACCAGCCTCATTTTAAATGTCCCTTCCCTATACAGCCCTAAGTTTTTACTATCAAGGTTTTGTATTTTGATTTCCTCTTATAGTGAAACTGAATTCAACCAATAGAAACATATAGCAATATGAAGGGAAAATCTTGTCTATCTTGCAGCATTTGCCAAAAAGTATGACAGGTTTCAGGACTGAAGCTGGTGTGTGAAACTTGTTTTTATACTATTAAGAAAGGACTCATCCAATGAATTAAAAGTGAATTATACACAACCTGGGGGAGAGTTATTTTAGAACAAGTTGATTTTAGGTACTCCAGGAAAGTTAGAAGTTACCTAATTGTAAACAATCAATATTACAATTGTAAATTATTCCTGCCTATCCATTAAAATATGTTTTCTCAGCACTTCTCTCAGCTAACTTTTACTGTTTTATCAAAATTAGTAAAATATTATTTTTTTATAATTTTATTTATTTATTTTTTCCTCCAAAGCCCCAGTAGATAGTTGTATGTCATAGCTGCATATCCTTCTAGTTGCTGTATGTGGGACGCGGCCTCAGCATGGCCACAGAAGCGGTGCGTCGGTGCGCACCCAGGATCCGAACCCGGGCCACCAGCAGCGGAGCACACGCACTTAACCGCTAAGCCATGGGGCCGGCCCAGTAAAATATTATTTTTTAAAAATCTATAATTCTCAATTTTTACTCATTCAGAAACCTTTTCTCATTTGTCTGAATTAGTGCGTTTTTTTCCTGCATTTTATTTATAACAGCTAATCAATATAGAAGAGGCAACATCTTTCAGCTTATACTCGCAGAAGCTAATAAACTTGTATTTCAACACTAGCAAATATCAAGTGGTCACCCTTAAATTTCATAACCTTTTAAATCTGACCTTTCAAAGTTCTTATCATTCCTCTTAAATTAAGGGTAGAATAACTTTAATCAATGAAAATTCTATGGAAAATAAGAAATAATTTTATTGAAATTCTGCAAACATAAATCAGAGCTTTGATTCAGTTGTAAAGTGTTTGTGTGTGTGTGTGTCCTCAATTTATTTCCTTACAACAGGTTAGAGCAGAAGAAATTTGGGTTATGAATCTTCCCTACCCGAAGCAGAAATTCCTTTCAAGATAAAAACAACCAAATGTCATACGAATTTTAGTTGACCACAAACATGGGCTCAAGTACAAATGACATGAACACCAGGTGTTTATGACTGGATTTTCCACTTGTTTCAGAAAACCTGAAAACACAATTTCACAGGGAAAACTTGTTTAGTTTTGTCCACCAGACTTTGTTTAAGCCTAAGTCTTAAAAACGAAGCAAAATAACACTAATAGTGGCTTTTTATAATACAAAGAAAGAACATCATAACAAATAGTTGAAGGTTGTGTATAAGTTCTATACCAATTTGAAATCATAAGTGTCAAATTACATACTTATTCATCAATCTCTACTAGTAACACTATGAACATCTTGGAGCCAGCCCGGTGGCCTAGCAGTTAAGTTTGTGCATTCTGCTTAGGCGGCCCCGGGTTTGCCAGTCTGGATCCTGGGCGCAGACCTACTCACTGTTCATCAAGCCATGCTGAGGCGGTGTCCCATATAGAAGAGCTACAAGTCTACAACTATGATATACAATTATGTACTGGGGCTTTGGAAAGAAAAAAGAAAAAGAGGAAGATTGGCAACAGACGTTAGCACAGAGCCACTCTTCCTCAAAAAAAAAAAAAACAACTATGAACATCTACAGCAATGGGAACGCTAAAACTGTATGGCTTTTGTTCAGCTGAGGAGAAGTCTTGTTAGGAAAACAGTGTTTAAAGACCTCTTGACAATGCAGATTTTTAAAATGGCAGAAAAGGAAATAAATGTTAGTACTATTTCTTTTTAGGGGGTGAAGTTAGTTTCTTAGATATCTTTCCTTTACACCTACATAGTCCCTTGTATTAGATATTCCATAGATATTGTAAAAAATTAAAAGCTATTTGGTATAAAAGGTGTTGATCACAAGTCAATATGTATCACCTGAAGTTTAAATTAAAGCTAATTCAACCACATGGAAAAAGTGAGGCAAATAAAGTCCACTATTTGCACTACTTTTCTTTCTTTGTTTTGTTTTGTTTTGTGAGGAAGATCATCCCTGAGCTAACATCCATGCCAATCCTCCTCTTTTTGCTGAGGAAGACTAGCCCTGAGCTAACATCTGCGCCCATCCTCCTCCACTTTATGTGGGACGCCGCCACAGCATGGCTGGACAAGCAGTGCGGCGGTGCGCACTCAGGATCCGAACCCGGGCTGCCAGCAGTGGAGTGCTCGCACCCAACTGCTACACCATGGGGCCAGCCCCCAGAATTTTTTTTTTTAATCTTTGTCCCTTGTGGAGTTGGAACATGTCATAGGAAGTTGGATTTTCTACATGCTAGAACTATGGGGGCTACTTCATTCAGCAAATATACTCAATACCTGCTATTTCTGAGGTATTAAGCTGCAGACAAAGATAATAAAGAATGACCTCCTCCTTCAAGGAATTCAGAGTCAGGGAAATGGACATATTTGCAAATTAGTACAATAATGTTATTGATACTGTTGTAGAAATACATACAAGGAAACTTTTATTTCGGTAAAGTTTGATAAAGTGCATTTGACCCTTTACCATTCCTTCTCCTCTTCAAGTTTTAGTTATTACCTACAGATCGAGCACTCCCAGATTTATGTCTCATCTCTTGAAAACATCTTTCTCCCACTTTCAGATTTATGCTAACTTCCTCCACCTGGATATTTTGTCAGATCTCAAATTTAGTATTCCAAACCAAACGTGCTATTTCCTCTTTCCTTCCTTCCTCCCTTCCTCCCTCCCTGCTTCCTTCTTTCCCTCCTTTCCTCTTTCTCTCCTTCTCTCCCCCTATTTACCCCAATTTCCCAGGCTTAAAACTTCAGGATTCTCTTTGATTCCCACCACTCTGCTGTGTCCTACATCAAGTCATATGCCAAATTTTGTCAGTTCTGTCTTGGCAGTATCTTTCAGTTCTCATTGCCACTACCTGTCTTCTGTTTGATCAGTCTTCCTGTTTCATATCATTCTACCCTTAAGAAACTTTCAGTGACTCTCCTTTGTCTACAGAACAAAGTACAGACTTCTTAGCCTGGTCTTTAAGGTCATCCTCTTTGATCTGACCCTAAACTGGCCTTTCCAGATGTGTTCCATACACTTTAGCCAAACTGAAATATTCACCAGTTATCAGATAGTAATTTATTTTTCACTTCTCTGCTGTTGCCTTTTTTTTTTGCTTCATTGAGAGTCTTTCCTCTATCTGTTTACTTATGGTTTCAATACCTGGTTCTTACGCCACTACTTTCTTCAAACTTTTTCTGATTCTGCCTTTCGAGAATGATGTGTTCTCTTTCTCCTTGAAGTAGTAGTGTATCATTTATGATACCTTCGGTTGACTTTGGTTCAAAATAGATTTACTTAGCACCTACTATATGCCAGACACTATGCTAGGGGTTAATGCTACAACTTCAAAGGAGTCAATTGCATATCCTTGAGCAGCTTGCAGTCTAATCCTTCACATGCAGTAACAGAAAATACATGCAAGGTAAGGAAGTGAAAAGGTGTCAGATGTGGTCAACTTGTGGGCTGAGAGGAACAGGGGAATTTCCTGGTGGATGTTTCTCCTGGTGGGGTAGGGCATTTTAGGTAGAAGGAACAACATATGCAAAGGAACAGAGAGACAGAATAGCACGGTGTGTTAGGGTGATTCAGTATTGCTTCAGCATAAAAGGTAGGGGAGGGGGGGTAGAGAGAGACATTGTGGGGGATAAGTCACGAGACTAAAGGGGGATAGAGCACAAAGAGCCTTTTATACCGTGCTGAGAAGTATGGGCTTTTTTCTGTGAGTAGTGCTAAGCCATTGAAGAGTTTTAAGAATAGCAGTGACACTGTTAAAACATAAGCTCACTCTGGCAGCTGTATCAAGTGGAGTATTTAGGGGAGTAGAGTTGGTGACACAAGAGAGGGGATATAACAGTTCATATAGTATAACAATTGGTGCAGGAAATAATAAAAGCCAAACCATTAGGTTGAGTATGTTCTAGTTGTTTGGGTACATCCTATCAATGACTCTAAACCAAGGGTCGGCAGACATGGCCCATGAGCCATATCTGGCCAACCACCAATTTTTATAAATAAAGTGTTTTTGGAACACAGCCCCACCCATTCATTTATGTGTTATCTGTGGCTGCTTTCCTGCTATAGTAGCAGAGCTGAGTATATTTGCAACAGAGCCTTTATGACACACAAAGCCTAAATATTCAGTGTGGCCCTTTACAGAAAAAGTTTGTCAACTCCTGTTCTAGCCTTTAAGTCCATGTCTTATTCACCTCTGCATCTCCCACAGTATCTCAAATAAGTCTAAATACTGAGAACATGGTAGATGTTTAGTGAATATTTTTTAAATTAGTAAACTTATAGATGTATTCTGAATCAAACTCTATTCATATAAAGTCATAATTTCCCTACATACTAGAAGTGACTTTGTTCTAGCTCGAGAATGCCATACTGGAGGAAGCCACTTTGGACAGTGTGGTAAGAAAAACCTCTTTAAAATACTGGAGACCTGGCAGGAGCAGGCTACTAGTACTACTGCATTTAAAAAAAAAAAAAAAAAGAATGCCAAAGTTCTGGATAGTATAGGAATATAGTATTGGGTTCCTTATAGAATGGATCCTCTCATTTCATTCATTCATTCTTTCTCCTTGCCATGAGAAATGTCTTTGTAAGAAGTGATGGTGACTTCCAGAAAAACTGTGTAAATGATGTGAAAATTGCTCCTCACCATCCTGATCTTTCACCTCAGACCACATCAGTGTTTTTGATATAATCCACAATAAATAGTTTATTAGTTATCAGATTTTTCATATGCATTAGCCACCAGATTTTTCTCTTATTAGTCATTTGTCATCTTTACCATGATAATCTTATCCCAAAATGCCTCTAAGCCATTGCTTCACTAAGAAACATACTTTCTTTAAGCACGTATTGGGTTTATCTACACATGAGACAATGAGGAATGGTGGAAAGATCACAGAGTTCATAGTCAGAAAGGGTGGTTATGCACTGTAATTATTTCACTTTTTTGTTTCTGATCTGTTAGGGAGAAATAACTACCCATTTCATTGGGTTTTTGTGAAAATGAAATTAAATACTGTATGTGGAAGTGCCTTACAAACTATATAAATGTTAGTCATTTCCATTTTTGTTATTATTGGCTGATTTGAGAGGATGCCATATACATCCTTGTCCATATCTCAGTTTCTAATTTTTGTTGACTATTTGCAGTTATAATTTTTTTAATTATAAAGCTGAAATGTTAATTACCACTGTACAGAATATATAATCCTTCAGATTTGCAAGTAAGAAGTAGTGCAGGGGCCTGCCCTGTGGCATAGCGGTTAAGTGCTCGCACTCTGCTGCAGGTGGCCCAGGGTTCGGATCCTGGGTGCGCACCAACGCACCGCTTGTCAGGCCATGCTGTGGCGGTGTCCCACATAAAGTGGAGGAAGATGAGCAAAGATGTTAGCTCAGGGCCAGTCTTCCTCAGCAAGAAGAGGAAGATTGGCATGGATGCTAGCTCAGGGCTGATCTTCTTCACAAAAAAACAAAAACATTCTGCAAAATCTTCTTCACGTCTGTATCAAATGGTGGCAACTTAAGGTAGATGCGTCAGTGGTTACCACGGGGCAGATGCTACCATTTAGCGTTTTTATGGTTACTCTGAAGGTTTAGCAATTGACAATTAATTCCTATTTCTTTTACCATGTCTCTTTGTCAAAAGTCAGCATTACTGTAGCTCTTGGTATGCTTGAAAGAAAGAGAAAGAATATTGGCAGAGTATTTATAGGACTGCAGACTCCTAATCTGTTAGTTGATTTGACTGACCTTTATGTGTCTGTTCATAGCAGTGGACTGTGCTGCTCGCACCAGACCCTCCAGTTCAGCACCACTGAAATTCTTGGTCTCTACAGCCAGTTCTTTAATGTCTACGTCAGCAGAGAGTAACTGATGCCCTCTCATTCTTGCAGTGTGGATATGAAGGATCTGTAGTCGACCTTTCTCATCTGGTAAGCCTGATAAAATTGAAAATAAAATAGAGATTATTATAATCCTAATGCTTTTCTTATAGGTACTCAAGCACGTAAACATCTGCTTCTCATGACATACAACTTTTCTAACAAACATTGTTACATGACTTTGCTCCTGCTAATGAACTCTAAATACACTCCACATGCCCCAATCAGTAACAGATCTGCTTACCTATCTCCATTTTAACTTCCAGTCTTCCAGGTCGAAGGAGAGCCTCATCTATCAGATCTGGTCTGTTGGTCATTCCTGAGCACAGATGTTAAAACAAAACAACACACCAATCATCAGAGTTCAAAAATAAGATAAAATGTCCCTTAAGTATATGTAAGAATAATAATTTCCCTGACAAGCTAAGAGGACATTTTATAAAAGTCAAATAGAAAACCAATTATTCTCAAGTAAAAATATCATTTGTTCTTGATCTGTTCTAACACAAATACTTAGGGACTTTGCTTTAGTATTTCACTACTGTACAAGCCAATGGAACATAAATGTAATGAAAACTTCGAGTATTTAAAGAGAAAATTCAAGGTTCAGAGAGGGTAGGTAACCTGTCAAAGTGAGAGAGAGGCAACGTGAACATGCTCTATCTGTCTCACCCCAAAGCCCTCTCCCTTTTTCATAGGCCAATGGTTTTCAACCTTCATAGGCAGCAGAAGTTTTGTGTGCGTGGTTTTTTTTCAAAAGTCATCTTAAGAAAAACCTCAGTACATAAAACAGTTAAAAGAAGAAGTTATAATAGGGATGCATGATCTGAAGCTCACTCCCTGGCCCTCACAGACCCTGAACCACCTCTAAGGACCCCTGGAGGCCTATGGGACCCAGAATGAAAACCACTGCATCACATTGAGCTGCCTTTTTCATCTGTGAGCTATAAGCTTAAAGCCATGAGTCAGTAAAAGCCATCTTTTATTTGTTCTATAAAGGCTAGACATTAAAATAGTCAAATTCTTCAATATCACTCGATTCTAATTTGGAAACACTGGCAAAATAGTGTAATTACAACCTACACAGATCTTAATTCAGAACCTATGTGTCTAATGTTCTTGAAATCATAGTAGTTTTTTTTAAAGAAAACATACCAATGACTAAGATGTTGTTCAGTTGCTCTACCCCATCAATTTTGGACAGCAACTGGTTGACGACAGTGTCATGAACTCCTGTGCTACCAGCCATGCTCCCTCTCTGCTTGCAGATGGCATCAATTTCATCAAAGATGATGATGTGCAAACCACTGTTAGCACCAAGCTAATAAGGGAAAAAATTATATTAAAGGTCATAATTTGAATATCTTATTAAACAAACTAATCAAAAAAGCAAAACAAAGCTTTCCACAGATTGACTTTGCTCCATTTTGACTAATAAATATAGCAAGTATAATCATAGCTGCCCTCTCAAAGGTGTTAGAACTGCATTCTCAGAATTCTACAAACTGAAAAGGCATTCCAGAACCTCATATTTAATAGCCATAAAACAAAAATACATGTTATATGCTGATGAAAGTGAAGAGTCCATCAAATAACTAACTGTTCATTTACACTCATTTCTTATCTCACCATTTGAAAGAAGAACTCTCATACTTATCAGATGCACTTCTTAAGTCAGTGAATGTCAACTCCCTCCCATTCTGGTGAGTTTTGGTGAAAGGATTGTCCTAGAATCAGTAGGTTTAACATTTGTTTATCATATTTTATAGCTAAATGGTAACTCCACCCAGAGGTCACCTAGGAATTGGGCAAATGGGGGAAGGAATTGAACCTGATTCATATCTAGTTATATCACATGAAAACAGATTACTTCTTAACAGTAAAGTGAAAACAGAGACGCAATTTATAAAAAGAACACAGTAGAGGGGGTGCTGTTTCTTCTGCATAGTGATTTCTGTTTTAGTTTATTGGATATAGAGTCATCATTAAAAGAAATTAGTTTATATATTTTGAACCTTTGATAGATGCAAATCCTTTTAAATGCTAATAATTCACTAGGTTAAGTTAACATGGACCTTCCAACAATTTATATTTAGGTAATTAAGTCTCTTATTAGGAACCAAAGGGGGAAGTGCACTCTAGAAATTTTCTTTCTTTTTTAAAACAAAAAACCATTAGGGATTAACAAAACAAAACAGGTGAAAATGAACATAAATTAAATATGACAACATCTGGATAATATAGGTGCAGTGAGATTCAGGATTAGATATGGTTGGTACTCATTAAAACTCTGGCAAGGATATAATCTTTTTTTTTTTTTTTACTTTAGTATGTATTAGATGTTAACTGAGCAAAAGTAAAACAAATTGAAATAAGTTAAAAATAAACTATATCACATAAAGATAAACGCTGTTAATATTCTGTAGATTTATTTCTATATTTTAAATTTATTTTAATTAAAAAATCATGGGGCTGGCCCGGTGGCGGAGCAGTTAAGTCCGCGCGCACTCTGCTACCGCGGTCTGGGGTTGGGATCCCAGGCACGCACTGACACACTGCTTGTCAAGCCACATTGTGGCGGCGTCCCATATAAAGCGGAGGAAGATGGGCACGGATGTTAGCCCAGGGCCAGTCTCCCTCAGCCAAAAGAGGAGGATTGGCGACAGATGTTATCTCAGGGCTAATCTCCCTCACAAAAAAAAAAAAAAAAAAAATCCGGAACTCACTGCATCTTGTATTCTCTTGAACATTAACCGTTCTTTAAAAACAATTTAAAATTATTTTTGTTTCTAATTACAAAACACATGATCATTAGAGAAAATCTGGAAAAATACCAAAAAACGTAAAGAAATCATAGTGACCCAAAATTCAACTAGCTAGAAATAACTAATATTATTAATTTGATGCTATGTAAATAGCTTGTATCCTTTTTTTCAGTCCAGATATTATCTTAAACCCCTTCCCATGCCTATAAATACAACTATACACTATGATTTTTAATGGCTCCATAATATTTCACTGTATGACTGGTTTCACAGTTTAACTCCCCTACTCCACATCAATTCCTTACTTTCAGATATTCAATAATTTCTAAGTTTTTAGTACTATATATGTTGTTGCAATGAACATTTTTATACGCAAATCCTTGACAATATATACAGATTACTTCCTGAAGGCAAATTGCTAGGTTAAAAGGTACCTTGAGTATTTTAAGGCCCTTGAAATAGGCTGTCAAATACTTTTCCAGAAAGGTTTTATTACTTTATTTCTCACCACAGTATATGCCAGTGCATAGCTCAATACATCCTCACAAGCAATGAATATTAGAAAATTTTAAAAAATAATTCTCAACTTGATAAATGAACAATGGAATTTCTCAGTTGTTTTTAACTGGCATTTGTTTAATTACTGAAGAGGCTGGCACTTTTTAAATCATATTTTTTTTACCATTGGTAATTTTTCTCTTTTTATTTGTTCATGTCCTCTGCACATTTTTCTGTTGGGATTTAAGAATTTTTCTTATTGATTCATAAAACAATTCTTTATATATTAAGGGTATTTTTATATTTGTTATAAATATTTTATCCCAGTTTGCCATTTGTCTTTTATTTATGGTATAATTTTGATAATGGAAGGGTTTTTTAAATTTTCTCTTTACTATTTAAATAGCCATTATCAATTTTTATTTTTATGATGCTTTCTATTACTTTTATCGTTAAAATCCTCCCCCATTACAGATACTCATGGTCACCTACATTTTTTTCTGTTTTAAATTTTTACTTTACATATAATTCTTTAACCTATCTGGAGTTTTATTTTTATATATGGTACAAGTGAAGTAAGAATCCAAGTAATTTTTCTTCAAATAGTTAACTAACTGATCCAATCCTAAATTATCCTTTCTTCATTGACTGAGATGCCATTTTTATCGGGCTTTATATTTTTATGTATGCTAGATTATTACCAGCCTGTACTACTATAGTAGTAGGTTGGGCAAGCTCTTCCCCTCCACACATTCTTCTTCTTTTGCATGACTGTCTTGGCTATTTTCAACCATGTTTTCTTCCCAATAAACATTAGAATCATTCTACCAGAGTAAAAACAACCTCCACCAATTAAAAGCAAACAAAAAATCCAAGTTTCAATTGGAATTAGATTAAATCTCTAAATTAGTTTAGGAAGTACTATAATATCTTTTTTTTTTTTTTTAATTTTTTTTGTGAGGAAGATCAGCCCTGAGCTAACATCCATGCCAATCCTCCTCTTTTTGCTGAGGAAGACTGGCCCTGAGCTAACATCTGTGCCCATCTTCCTCCACTTTATATGGGATGCCGCCACAGCATGGCTTGATAAGCGGTGCATTGGTGCGTGCCCAGGATCCGAACCCGGGCCGCCAGCAGCGGAGCGCCCGCACTTAACCACTACGCCACTAAGCTGGCCCCTATAATAACTTTAGAGCATATTCAGTTCTTAAGAAGAATGTCTCTCCAATTATTCAAGTCCTTTATGTCTCCCAATAAAGTTTTGTAGTTTTTGTCACATAAATTTCTTCATCAAGACTTCTAACTATTTATGTTTTTTGGTTGCAATTGTGAATGGGATTTTTCCATTATATTTCAGAAACAATATGTATGAAGAAACAACATTAATTTTTGTATATTTATGTCATACCTGGCTACTTTACTCTCTTATTTATATAAACATCTAAGTTTTCTCTTATTTATATAAACATCTAAGTTTTTTTAGTTGATTCTTTTGAATTTTCTAGGTACCCAATCTTATCATCTACAAATACAACTTTGTGTCCTCCTTACTAACAGGTGTACTTGTTTTTGTGTATGAGAATTTGTTCCTGAAGAAAGACGCATAGAAGGAGAAAGAGAGGGCCTAACAGATTAGAATGTAGAAGCGTGCAGGGTCACCTGAACAAATGGCTCAGAGGCAGCCAAGGTCCTATAAGAGGGATAATAAAATTTACCCAATGTGAGAAACAGAACTTAGAGTACTATCACAACAGGGAACAAAATCCAGAAGCAGGCCTTTCTACTGAAACAGGGAAGATCACCAAAGGATTTTCAAAAGGAGAATATATATGAGAAGATTTTATATCCTTTATATCCTATATCCTTTCTATATTTATCCTTTATATAAGATGATTTTAATCCTGACTTTAGGATGAAAAAGGAGAAGTATGTAGTTGGAAGGTAAGTGAGAAATAATGGTACATAAATGAGGTAAACAGAATCTGTAAGAGAGTTTTACATACTATGTAAAACTATGTAGAGGGTTACATACTATGATCCCATTTATACGACATTCTTGAAAAGACAAAACTATAGGGAAGGATAACAGATGAGTAGTTACCAGGAATTATTAGCAAAGGGAGAATGACCATAAAGGGCCAGCATGAGGCAATTTTTAGGGGTGACATAAATGTTCTGTATCTGGATTTTGGTGGTGGTTACATGAAATTATACATGTGTTAAAATTCATAACATTGTGTACCAGAAAATAATAATAAGTAAAAAAACAGATAAAATATCTTATAATCTTACATTCCATTATTCATATTTGGAGTATTGTTCACTCTTTAATGCAATTCTATGCAAGACGATAGTCATGTGTTCATCAAATTAAAATTTAACTAGGTTTTATTTTTTTTCCTGAACAATACTATAAATTGTTCTCCTTCTACAAATGTTTTAAAAACTAAATTCAAATCTGAAAAAAATTAATTTCTCAATATTATCATATTTATTGAACAGATGTCTGATGATAAATGATAGCTCGCTGCTTAAAAAAAATTCAATACCAAAAACTATTCATCTTTCTATCTGTAGAAAAGACTGAGAATGAGGAATCAGAACTACAACCTTAGCTTTGCCAAACACTTCTATATAGCAGGGTATTAATTCTTGCCATCTTCAGTCCAATACAAGGACACTCCTGTTTGTAACTGAAAAACTGAGATTCTACATCATTTTTATTATTAGTTTTTCTCACATCTCACGTAATAGTGTGAATACCCAATCATCATGCTTATGAACTACAAAAGGATCTACGTTATTTTTAAAAGACATTTTAATTTAATGTCTACCAATACAGCATGAGACAAAAAGCTGCTATGATGTATGAATTTTTCCTGTGAATGTGCCTTATGTTGCCACTGGAATCAAGACTTCCTTCTCAGTCCAACCTCAAAAATCATCTATGTGAAAGGGAAGCCAAAGACAATAGAAATACTGTGTTTGATTAAATGATCACAGGAGCAATCTGTCCTAAACATAATTCAGTACAATTCTGACCTTTTCAGAACCTTAC